CAAACGGTTTACACAGGAGATTTTTTCAATGCAGGAGTTGAAAAACCCACTTGGATTATTCCTGGTTTGATTTTTTTTTTTTTTTTTTTTTTTTAAGGAAGAGAAAGGAAAGATGCAAAGAATCAATATAATTACATCTAAACATCTTTATCTGCTGCATTTTTTAAGTTATAATGCTGATTTTCTAGGGACTTCATAGAATAAAACAGAATTTTAAAATTCCATTATTTACTTAATTTTTCCTATTATTGAAGTCATTCATATGACAATATTTCACATCAACTTTTCCATTGCAACAGGACTATATATATCCACTTTTTCATTTTAAACCTTGGCAAGGTTGTAATGGAAATTTTCCAAGTTTAAAAAGAAATTTATATAAACATATAGAACATCTAACATCTTTTGCAGCAGTAATTCAAGCTCCTGTTAACTTCAGTAGCAGGCTTATATATGTGCTGTGCTTTCTGATGAAAACCCCACAATCTGAGCTGCTTTTAGTGTTTAATTCAGACAAATTAAAATGAAGCTCCTTTAGGGAGAAGCGTAGTAAACAGCCTTCAACAATAATGCCATAATAGCCAGGTTATCTTGTTTTTTGGGGGAAAACACACTTAGTAATCCTCATGTTTTAGCAGAACTTGCTAAAGATCCATGGAAGAGTTAAACAATATGGGAGGGAAGGGCATGAGCAGCCAAAGCCCTCTGTGAGTCAGGTTACTGACCACCAAACACCAAGAGAAGCAGCTAAACCAGCAACCCAGGGCTTGGGGAAATTGTTCCACTTGGTCAGGCTTAAATTTCAGCAAAACAAACTCCAATCACAGATATCATCTCAGAAACAAACCACACGGCTGGGAGTACCTGATTTAGATCCATGTGTGGTACCACTACCAAAAAAATGTCCTTATTTTCAGCAGTTACACTCCCACCAGTGCAGGAGTCATCCMCGAGCCCCACAACCAGGATGTGATTTTCATACTCCAAAGGGAAAAGAGCAAAACACTTCAAAACCACTGTTTTAGAAGAGCTGCACATGGGATAGCTGGTCATGGGTAGGTGGTGAGCTGGGAGGATTTACAGCCCTTTGGGAAACCATCATGTGGTGTGGACTGGTTTTCTGGGAGCACAGGGGAGAAGAGCCCCAGTATCTCGTGCAGTTGGCATTTAACAGCAAAAAAACCACCCAAAATAATAATTAAAAAATGTTGGCCAGCAGAATCAGTGTATGTTACCTGCATTAAATGCATTTCAGAAACACATCAAACAATTTTTGGGAAATAGAGAACACAGGTCGAGGCTGATCATCCATATGGAATATAAAAGCAAATGCTAACACAACTTTGGAAAATGTGCACATCATCACTTTGTGTCCACTCTGCCTAAACAATTAAAAAATTCTGTTAATATTTTTTACCTAAGCATAACATACTATAACTTTAGCTCCCCTTCAGTGACAGTTTGTGCTTGAAAGTTCTGTAAACAGAGAACTTAGGAAATGTTGAAATCATTGCCAGATATAGAGGCAGATTTCATAACATGAGTTAAGTGCATCATATGCTTACATGAGAGGGTCTCTCCTATATAACACTTGCAGAAATTATAAATTCTCCATATGCCAGCAGAGTTAATAGCTTCCTTAAAGCAACTTTCAAAAATTCTGCTTGCACAGGAGTAAGTTTCCAAAACTTTCYATAAGAAAACAGAAAACCACTTATTAATGCTGGGGACAAACTAAAGTTTTCATCCTTCCTTTCATGAYGGTTTTCTTAAACAAAACTTAAACTTTTGGGTACCTGAAGAAAGTGTCAGTGGGAATTCTCTTCTGCTTCTCTAGTTTCTTGAGAAGGCAAAAACAGTCCAAAAAATGGTAATAAGAGAGTTTGGGTAGAAGATGTGCCAAGGTTGTGCAAAAATTTCTAAAGGCCACTTAATGAGGAATCCTAGGAGACAAACTTCATGATTTTGATGGAGATAAAGGATATGAGGACAGATCTTTCCTTTTCTGTGCAGTGCAGTGGAAATGATATTTCAGAGTTGATAAGAGATGCTGATCTGGAAGCACAAGGTTCTTGTTTTCTCCAACTGCTTTTCTATGATGTGACTAACAGAGGTCACTGTCCTTTTGGAAGCATTTTTGTACACTGTAGTTTAAATTAGATTTCCAGTGGAGATTACCATTCCTTTCAATCAATTAGTGACAGGCTGTATATTTTAGGTGTGTTGCACACGTTAACCACAGCAGTGTTTGAT